GTAGTATACTATGATATCGAATCACCTACATAAACTATAATACCAAGAGACATATTATATAGCGTGTAAATATTTTCTTATATCGAAAGTGAATCACGAGTTCGAATAAAAAGTATTTTAAGGTCATATTATATTCCGATATTCCAATCATAATATTATAATAATTGAAGTAAGTCAAATTCAAATGTAAAATACACTAAGCACATACTGGTTATTTTTCAAAGTCAGAGAAATTAATGAAAATAATTAACTAATTAGAGTACAGGTAATTCAAAATTCAGAACTTTGAGTCATAAGTTAATATTAAGCGAACAAAACATTTAACTCTAAAAGCTTAAAATTAATATGATTAAAAATAAGTTTCCAAATTAATTTTTTTATATTACTGCCGTTCGGGTCACAAATATATCAAAATATTTGCGAATGATTGAAGTGATCGGACGGCATGGGGGGCTACGTTTCAAGTTCTAAAAACTGGTTTTCATCTTATTTTCATTATTATGGCGAAGGTTTGGAGAAGATTGGACAAAGTAGAGGGAACTTCAAACTCGTCACAAATAGTTTCAATTGTTTAAATAATAATAATAACTGAACGTTTTGTTAAAAATGTACCCTTTACGCTATTCGCTTTAGTGGTCTAAGCCAGAGGTTGGCACCCTCAGCTCTCATATCAATTTTATTTAACCCACCAGTTAAATTTATAATTTGTATAAAAGTAGACATTATGTGTAAGACTACACTAAAAACCACGAACTAAGATAGTATGGTTCGGAAATAGTGTGTTAAAATGTTGTTTGTTTGCTTGTTTTTTAAGATACCTTATTAAATTAATAACCCTAGCAGTAACGAACCTAAATAAACTAAATTTTATATGACTGTTCATTTTTGTTTAAAATAGAATAAGGTACTTATAAAATTTGTGGTCCATGAAAAATTTGTATTTATTTTTTGGCCCATGACGCCAAAAGTTGACTCCATGCAGTTGAAGCAGTTGCACGTTTTCGATTAATCAATATTATTCATTAGCTTATTTTTATTTAAAACCATTGTACCTATACAATACAATTAAATAGTTAATTTAAAAAATTAAGTTAGTTAGTCTTAAGAATTATTTTTAAAGTTCACTGAAAAAACTAATTTATTACAATATATACTTTAATTACCTAGTTAAGTTATTAAATTTATCATAAAATAAGCTAAACTTGTTGTGATAAAAAGTTTCAAAAAATTAACTTTTTAACTAATTTAACTAGTTCATTATTTGATACTTACCTTTTTTGTTTTGATTTTAAACTCGTTTTCAACATACAATTTAATATACAACGTATACAACGATTTTTTTTAAATATATTCTAACATTTCATATTATTCAAACACATGATATTTTGAACACCTAGCAAATGTCGCCCACCATCACATCTCACTTGTATATGTATTGCATATACATACATTATATTTCGCATTTATTTTTCAGTGTACGACACATACTGAATGTGACAAGGGAAATCGACAATTTCTTCCCTGGCTCGTTCAACTATCTCAACGTTAGGGTGTACGACGATGATAAGACTGATCTATTAAAGCACTGGGATAACACCTATAAATACATCACAAAAGCCGAGTATGTGGACTGTAGAACTCGCACTCATTTATAATATCAATGTCGTTGTGCTCAACGTGTGTTTTATTTTTTCAGACAAGAAGGCTCTAAAGTCTTGGTACATTGCAAGATGGGCGTCAGTCGGTCTGCGAGCGTCGTAATAGCGTACGCTATGAAGGCTTACAACTGGTCTTTCAAAAAAGCACTAGACCACGTTCAGTCTAAACGCACCTGCATTAAACCCAACAAACATTTCATCCTACAGCTAGAAACTTATCAAGGAATATTGGCCGCGATGAAAAACCGCGAGAAATTGCAGCGCTCCAAATCCGAGACAAACTTGGTGGCCACGTCAGGCCTCATCACTCCTCCTAATTCGCCGAAAAAGGCTCTGGACACCCCGAGGTCACAGAGTGAAGGTGACAAAGACGCTACGCCACCGGATCGGTTAGACAAAGAAAACGAACCCGTCGTGCCTAGTCCGCCAACACGATTGATGCCGCCAAAGTTATTAGATATCAGTGGATACGATTTGATGAAATGCGGCGGCAGACCAAAGTCATGGTCACCAGAAAATAATTTTGCCACTGACATTTTAACCAGCTCTAGTGAGTTAATATATTTTTGAATCGACTGCGTTTGATAAAATAAACCGTTTCCTCCGTTATTCCAATAGAATAAGTGTTCAATTATGGCTTTTAAATAATGGAAAAATGAAACCAATATACGTACATATATATATATTTTAATTAAATAGCTTAATACTCTTTACCTATACACCATTCAGTTCAACTTTGATAAAAACATATTTAATGTGTGTAAAATTATATTTGTATGGCCTTTGTGGCTCGAAATTACACTTAAACGGATTCGAAATAATCACAACTTATGTTGTGCGTATATATTCTTTTGTTCTACTTTTAATATCAATGTCAAAAGATTGCATTCTTCATTAAATATCATGGTATGTTCCTAGACCATTAAATAATTTCCTCTCTTGGATAGAATTACTGCATTATCATCGTCTTTAAAACACTTGTGAGGATTATTTGTATTAAGAAAAACAAACGAAGGTTATTAAGTCATTATGTACAATTTATTGGTGTCTAAAAAAAATTGAACGCATCCCATTAAAAAAAAAGGAGGTGCATATTTGTAAAAATAACAAATGTATGTGTATATTTTCAGCGTTATTGTCGCAATCGTTGGAGAAAATTAACACGGATAAAATTGCTGTAGAAGTGGAAGTAGAAGTTCCGAATATTCCACCTGCACCACCGTTGCCTCCATTCGAAGCCCATAAGTACAACGTCAGTGTGTTCATGCCTTGCGGAAACGGCCTAAGATCGTACAGCGTGTCGCAGAACAAAATCGTTCAGTTACAACCAGCTACACCACCAGCCCCCAGGTAACGTATATTATTATACCCACCATGTTCGATAACAACGATTAATAGTAAATATTTCGTTAGAGATCTACTATGACAGCACGAGTGAATCTATCTTGCAATACACAAAGTATAATTTATTTCGTTTAAATGAGTGTTAAAGTATACAATATCCGTTATTATATTAATTTAACGGTACCTGAGTGCGTGGTGAATTTACTATACAATCCTTGAGGGGGAAAATATTATACTATACAGATTGATACACCAATAGTTATTCAAAATCAGATTTTTGGAATTTTTAAATATACCTAGTTGCTTGCTTAGATCTTATTTTAAAATTATTAAAATTATTTGTACTACTTAAGAAGTGTTATGTAGAGAGATTCAAACTTCCGTTTTTCAAATAACTACTCGTTTGAATTTTAAATTTCAGTTAACATCAACATTTTCAAAAAAATTATCCACTAAATAATTTAGAGTAAAATGGGGGGGAGGGGGTTCTCATTTGAATAACAAAAATTTGTATGACCACTGGCCACTCCTTAAGTAGTACAAAAAAATTCAAGAATTTGAAAAAATTATGTTTTGGGAATAGTTAAAAATTAAAAATTTATTATTGAAGAAAAAATTCTGCAGGTTGATCAGTCCCTGTTTATTTTTACTTACAATGTATTAGTGATAACTATCATCATTTTTTTTTTTTTCATAATGATAGTCAAAATATCATAATTTTTTTAATAAAAGTATTATACTTGGTATACTATGATTTATAATTACTATGTGAAATGCAGATAAATAGTTCAAACTTGATATATACATCACGCATAACATTGTGTTACAGACCATCGTCGGTTAAGCTGCGAGTCAACGAACTGGAATCTAGCGGCATCGTCGGCAGTTGCAGCGGTAGCGTCACTAGCAATAGCGCCGGTGGTTGCACGTCTAGTCCGGACCGCAAATCGACGACGGACCCGGGCCGGAATCTGGTGCTGAATCTCACCACCCAGTTTGAGGGCGTGGTGGCCTCGTCGAGCGCGGCCAATTCGCCTTCCGACGACAACGTTCTAGTCAACAAACCCTTGTCCGCCGAATCGCCGAAGTTTAGCCGGATAGCCGTCCACAGACCTCCCTCGATCGCTGTTTGCACCCCACAGAAACGGGACGGTGGTGATCTGTTTTCGTCCCGACTGGACAGGGTGTTTGAACGTGAGGAGCGCAAACAGTGTCGCGAACCATTCGACCATCAAACGGCGGCGGTGGCTGTAAGCGCTGGTGACGTGTCCCGACAAAACTCGTGGAGCTCCTACGACAGTGCCGTCGTGTTGCGTGACGTCATATCCAGACACAGTTCTTGGGGCTCTTGCGACACACGTACCTTGCCGTCCAGGAACAGTTCGTGGGGCTCGTACGACGTCCGGCCGACCATGCAGTACGTCAGCGAACGCGGCGAAAGGCCGTCCGTAATCTCCACTGCCGCCGCAGACGTCGCTAAAACGGCCGCGGACGAACCTTGTTACCGGCCGGCCAAGAGGCCAAAGCAAAAGGACCAGCAAAAACTGCTGCAGCCCAATTGCTATTCGAGCTCGCCGACACTGGGCCTGCAAGGAGCTTCGCACAAGCTAGCCAACCGGGCGACTGCGTCTCAGCCGAACATATCTGGTCTTGGCAACACCCCCGTCACCGCTGCGTGCAACAACAAGCACAGCAGTCTGGTAAGGAGTTTGAAAGAAGAGTTTGAGGCCAAGGCGGGCGACGCCGTAGAAAAACCGTCGAGGAAGAACAGCGGTGGCGGAGGCGGTGGGAGTTCGACCGAGGACGACGGCACCGGCACTGAACACGTCAAGAGCCTGCCCACATCTCCGGTCAGCGAACACCCAAAGGTCACACAACGGCCCAGCCCGGCCGCGTCCATGGAGGACATATCGGTCAGGAAACTTGTGGGCAAGTACGAAAACGGCAGGGCCCGTTCCAAGACGTTCGTGCAGGACAGTGGTTGTCCGCGCAATCCGCTCTACCAGCAGCCGCCGGTGCCGCCGCGAGTGTCCAGCCTGGACGTGTCCGCGATCAGGCCACGAAAGTTCGAGTGCAATCCCGTCGTCAAAACTGTTGTGTTGCCCATACAACAGAGCGACATCCGCGCATCCGTCAACCGGGCCGCCAACAACAAATTACAACAGGGCAAATCGCATCCGCTGACAAAATTGTCGTTCAAACAGCTGAAAGTGAACAGTACTGTTTACAACAGCATGTAAAGGGTACAAACAGATCGGCGGATAACCGTAAAATGCATAACGCGTCTGAGTCGTAATATTATTATTATAACGTACTATATGCGTGTTGACTCTTAATGAATGTGTTTTTTTTTTTGTTTTTTATTTTGTACTTTTGAATTCTGTTACGTTATAATTCTGTTTTTACTTTGACAATTCATCTGTGTAACGTTTTATTTTTCATTTTTTTTTTTCTATCCGTTTACTGCAGTATAATATAATAGTGAACACTTCTCGTCGTCTCTCCTCCCACCCACTCCCACCCCACCCCACCCCCTTCGACTTTTGTTTTTGTTTTCTAGTCTATAACGCGCAAAACTACCGTATCAACTGTGTACATAATAATATATAATGTTATACAATTATTATAATACGAGAATTTACCCATACCTATCATTATTACAGGAATCTCTACGCCACCGCTTTACTCTAAGACAGACTATTTAAAAAAAAAACTAATGAAATTATTGTATTTCAAGTATAATTTTAACATAAGGATCGATTGTTGTAAAACAATATGTTTTCGTGTATTGTACATAGGTGCGCTCTCTCGTATAATAATATATGATAACTATCTGCCGCGTGTTTCAAAGTTTTTCAAAAAAAAAAAAAAATATTACAATATTGTTTTCACAAAGTTGTAGATCTCATTTTTTTTCGCTTACCCAGGCGGAAACATTCGCTTCCTCGCGTGTTCCGGCGATCGTAATAACAATATATATATACGATGGTTGGTCGATCAGTTGTGGGCACCACTCTCCTCCTATATTTAAATAATATTGTGTATATAATTTTGTAAGCTTACAATATATTGTGTGTTGAATAAACAATTTTAAAAATAATGTTTTAATTTTTAGCTGATCCTGTATGGCGTTGTCCGTGACAAATTTAATGCCTGTGCTTATATACTCCTACTTACCTATCTATATCCGTACTTTATTTACCCTTGCTATTAAACTCCGTAAATTGAACCTGCTCAGATTTCTAACACGATTGCAGTTTAGGTTGTTTTGACTATATAAATGTAAAACAGACACAGCCAAGCTCGGGTTGGGCCGTCGAGCTACCAATAAGATCTCTGTGGGTTGCCTAAAATATGGTCCGGTAATGAGTATTTGCAAGTATTGATTTTATTTTTATATGATATCCAGAAATATTAGTATACTATCATTAGTGAAAAATATAATTGAATTGAATTGTTAAACCGTACAGTAACTGCTGTTGATCAAACGTTAGAAACCCTAAAACTATATGACACCTATTACCTATTCGGCACTGAGTACCTATATTTACTATTTAGGTGTAAAATGATATCCAATCAAAATAACTTTTTTGCTTTCTGCAACCAATGGAAACACATTATAAACTTAATGAATGAAAGTCATTTCTGAACCAACTATAATCAGCATTTAAGATTATAATCGTGAAGTGTATAATCAATAACACTTATTTGTAGTTGAAATAATATGTTATAATATTATGAAAGTCATTATAGTATGACAACATAATCTACCTATTATCACGTCATTCAACCCGTTTAATCTTTCAGATGGCACATCTCCTTCACAGCCTGTCAATACATGTACGTGCAATATTATTTGTATGCTGGAATAATGTCTAATAAAAAGTGGAGAATACATAATCGTATTTTGAATACTTGTTAAAAGTATTTGTATTTGTATTAAAAATATTCAAATAATTTTGAAAGAAACCATTCGAATACACATTTAAAAATGTCAAATACAAATGACAAGTGTGCACGTAAATGTGTATTCTGAATACATTTAAAAATATTCTCAACAAGACTATACAGCACGTCCGTGAAAAAAAAAATAGTCTAACCGCAAATGGTTCCTAACCTAACTCTACCTATGTGGCTCTGTATTCTTATAACTCAAATGAAATGTCTATTTATAATAATAAATGTTAAAATTACGGTAATTTCCAAATCCGAAATCAAGGTGGATTTAATCACACCCTAATAAATCCACCTTGTCCGGAATGTCTATCTATTTATTTTTTTAGAATTATTTACATATAAGAATATTCTTACAGTCCCCCGTCTGTTATTTCCATCTGGGGTCCGTTAAAATAATTCGTTGGCGTGGTTACCAAACTATTGATAAATCGGTCGTTTTATATGTTGTATTATTGATGGTTAAACGATATGTTTGTTTATTTACAGTCGTAGACGACTTCAACAAAGACATACAAAAGTTTAAACCAGCACTTGATAAATACCTATATACAAGGAAAAACGTATACCTACCCAGTGCCGCAACTAGGATTCTTGGGGCCCCGGACAAAGTCAATATATGCCCCCCCCCCACCGAGGTCTATGTATATAATATTTTTTATAGGTTACTTATAAAAATATAAATAATAATGGCGATTTTTTTTTAAAGCCTAAAAATATAATATGAAGGCCCACTATACCCAGTGACCAGTGTATTGTTATTAAAATATAACTATACACACCTTTAGTGTTCTTTTTTTATTATAAATATTAATTAAAGCTTTTGTAATAATATATGGTTCTAAAAAAAATATTGCATAGCAAAAAAATTGTATGCATCTATATTATATTTAAACATTTAATTATATAAAAAAAATTCTATAACTAATTTAAAATTATAAAAAATGTATCACAAACATATACAAATAATAATAATTGATAAGATATCAATTTATTATACTCATTACTTGATATTAGACATTAATTCAACAAATTTCATAATATATGATATCTACTACCTATTTATATAGAAAAAAAAATAATTACAAACAATATGGAATACAATTGTATAACTTAGTTCAAGTCATTGTAAATGTGTCATAAATCATAATACTTATAATAATATGTGCTATAGATATGTGCATAATCATTCAAATTAAGAACGGAAATTCATTTTTCTTGCTTTTAAATTAGCAAAGTCATTTATAACCTTTTCTAAATTTAATTCTGATGTACGAATTTGTTCTACATTAAGTATAGCTATATTAGTCAAACGATCTTGTGCTATAGAATTTCTCAGAAAGTTCTTAATAAGTTTTAATTTAGAAAATGATCTTTCTGCAGAGGCAACTGTAACTGGCAATACTAAGAATAGCATGCAGGCTCCTAGTACTTCAGAGTAACTTATAGAAAAATCATTTTTTAGGATAAATGTTGCAAGTTCACCAATTGTTTTTAAATTTTTGTCTATGATCATTTCCTTAAGAGAGATAAGTTGACCGGTAAATTCAGAACTTATATCTGATTGATATTTAGTTACAAAGTCATATGATTCCTAGGTAACCTATACCTAAGTAACTATAAACAGCAACTTAAAATGAACGTCCTTAATAATTTGTATATTAAAGTATTAAATAATAAGTTGATCTACGTTAAACATAATTACGATATGTGATATGTACAATCATACGTCCCATGCCTTAGTTTGGTGACATTGATCGGGTCACGGGATGACCTATCCTATAATTTTGCCAGGATTACATGTGCCTTGGAAGCGTTTGGCTTTTATTATTTTTGATAGCTCCAGCTACAGCTTTCCCGAAACCAGTCCACTGTCCGAGTAATAATTGGGTACAAGTGTCCTACAGGCTTCTCGCTTCTGACTTGTCTGCATTCAACAAGTAAGATGCAAGTTGGATCCGTCGGCCACGGTCCGACATTATCAGGTTGGAACTTTTGAACTCTCCCGGAGAATTCAGGTATATTATTACTGGATAGAGGTAACACTCTATATAACTAAATATAACCTGCACTCTGCCATTGGAGAGCTAGAGATAAATACATAAACCCTTCCCTTAGTTCCCTTCAAAAACAAAAATACGAAATCGTAAATACACCCCTCACACCCAATGTGGTTTATATTAAACATCAAAATCAAATCGCACAGGATAATTTATTGTTAATTACACAAATTATTATTAAATGATGGACAAATAATTATTTATATATAAGTACTCTATATTATAAGCCACAAAACGGAAAACAAATTAGTATATAATTTAACTTCATTCACTGTTTAAGAGGTTTTCACTTTGTTAAATGTCGTTTGTATGTAATAAAATATAAAACAAGTGAATTTTCATCACGATAACTTCCTTCACATTGCAATGTACAAGATGTCCAAGGATTCTTGCGTTTTTTTCACCAATATTGTGCAGTTTTTTCGTAACCGATACCTACCAAAACTGTGATGAAATGGCAAATACCAAAAAATAATCCATAGTTAAATGCATTTCACAATATATTTGTCGAGTTTTATTTATTGATACAAAAAATTATATATACTTAATTACGTAAAATAAATAGCTAAGAATATAATATAATTTAAGATATTTTAATATCTAATCTATTTATATCTAGTTTTGGCTCGACGTATTATAAACATTGAAATTGATCTAATTTTTTCCGGTAGTTATGTTTATATGATCATTACGTTTTTGGGGTTATCACTGTTTCTCAGCGTTCAACATTTTTCTTTTCCAAATACTCGAGCATTTCATCTTTGCCACAACTTCTAACTGATGTCCTCCTCCGACCATACGTCCAATCATGTACTGAAAGTCAATACTGCCAATGAACGGTTACAGAATCGTGGCTGCACAATGTATTCACGAAATTTAAACGAACAATTTTTCCTTAAATCAACAGTGGTTAAAACTTAAAATAGATAGTTGGATACTTTTACATTAGGTATTGTGTAAAATATGAATGATAAATAGGGAAATTTAAACAACATTTATTTGCACTTTGGTACTTTTAAAAGTTCACATTTTTGTTTTTAAATCATATTTTTACTTATTCTCATTTCCAGCTAATCTTAATAATATATAAATGGAATATAAATAATATCCATAAATACACAATATCTAAGTGTAAGGAGCTTAGCATAGGTAATATATTATACGTACTTGTGTACTTGAGATTCGTGAATTCGAGCTAATTTTATTAATTATTAATAACATTGTTAGTGTGAGTAAAAATTACATTGAATATACAAAAATGAATTTTTCAAGCCTTCGTTTAGGAAATATAAAAATAATTTCTCAGTTTTTTTGTTTTTTATGTTATGAAAAAAGAGTAACTGTTGCCCCTCAACTTGAACATGCCAAAAAAGCCCTAGTCTCAGTAGCTCTGAAGATCGATCACCACCGGAGACCGGACAACAAAAACGTCTCGAAATACATGAAGCTGCCGTAGAACCAGGACGATACAATTTATTATTTTATAGTACTTCGGAGTAATATATTTTGTGCGTAATGTCGTTAACCGACACTTGCAGCTACACTACGGCTGTGATAAGGACGTTATCATGGCCGAATACCGATAACAAAATAAAAACAATCTCGAGAGTTGTAGATACTCGAGGAAAATACCTAGTAAAATGATGTGCGTTAAATTCAAACATTTGATTTTAAAAAAAAAATTTGAGAGCCCGTCAATGTCACCACGACACTGTTAAGTTTTTACTGGGAAACAGAAAACCGCGACAAAACGAAAATGAAGTTCTTCATCGACGAGCTGGAGGTGTTCTTCCCGTACGAGTACATATACCCCGAGCAGTACGCGTACATGGTGGAACTGAAGAAGGCGATAGATGCCAAGGGACATTGCCTGCTAGAGATGCCTTCGGGCACCGGTAAGACCATCACCATACTGTCGCTGATCGTCGCTTACATGGTCAAGTATCCGGCGAAACTTGCAAAGCTGTTGTACAGTACCCGAACACTGTCAGAGATCGAAAAGGCTGCTGAAGAATTGCGCGTTTTGTGCGACTACTACAAGTCGAACAAGTGCGATGCCAACATTCTGGGCGTAGTGCTGTCTTCCCGCAAGAATCTGTGCGTCAACCCGTCGGTTGCCGGCGAACACAACGGACGCGTGGTAGACGCTCGCTGTCACGCACTGACCGCGCCGTTCGTGCGCTCCCGCCATGCCGATGGTGAGACTGTAAACGTGTGTGAATTCTACGAGAAACTCGATTCTCTAGGAAGAGACACGATTCTGCCTCCAAACATCTACAATATAGAGGACCTGAAAGAACTGGGTACAAAACAAGGCTTATGCCCTTACTTTGTGGCCAGACAGACGCTTATACATGCCAATGTCGTCATATACAGCTATCATTACCTCTTGGACCCTAAAATTGCAGGCATAGTTTCTAAAGATTTCAACAAAAACACTATAGTGGTGTTTGACGAGGCGCATAATATTGACAATGTCTGTATAGACTCGTTAAGTTCACACATCACGAGCAACAATCTGGACAAAGCTATGGAAGGACTCAATAAATTGGACACAGAAATCACGTCCATGAAAGAGAGGGACTCACAAAGGTTGAAGGAAGAGTACAGGAAAATGGTCGACGGCTTGAGAGAAATTTATAGAAACCGCGAAGCCAATGCTGCCCTAGCTAATCCAATTGTACCTGATCAGGTGCTAAAAATTACCGAACTACCTGGGAGCATCCGAAGCGCTGAACACTATATTGGTTTTATGAAAAGATTCATTATGTACCTGAAACTCAGAATGAACTCTACCACTGTAGTACAAGAAACACCTATAATGTTCATTAAAGATGTGTATCAAAAAGTATGTATAAATAGAAAACCATTACGGTTTTGTACTGAGCGGTTATCGTCGTTGCTGAGGACATTAGAAATATCTGAAATCATAGATTTCTCTCCACTTATCACAGTTGCTCAATTTGCCACCCTAGTATCAACTTACATGAAAGGATTTATGATAATTATAGAACCGTTTGATGAAAGGTCTTCAACAGACAGCTGTGTTATGCATTTTAGTTGTTTAGATGCTTCAATCGCCATCAAACCAATTTTAGACTATTTCAATACTGTTCTTATAACATCAGGAACATTATCGCCATTGGATATGTACCCCAAGATTTTGAACATCAATCCAGTAATTATGACATCCCTGACCATGACATTGTCCAGACAGTGTTTTTTGCCAATGGTGGTTGGTCGAGGTAATGACCAAGTAGCACTGACGTCCAAGTGGGAATCAAGAGAAGATTCTTCTGTTGCACGTAACTATGGACATTTACTTTTGGAAATGGTAAAAGTGGTACCTGATGGTGTCGTATGTTTTTTCCCATCATATTTATATATGAAATCCGTGGTAGCTGCTTGGTATGATCAAGGATTAATTGAAAAAATTTTAGATTACAAATTGATATTTATCGAGACACAAAATATAGTTGTCACTAACCATGCAATAAAATGTTACGCAGAAGCCATAGAACGAGGAAAAGGAGCACTGTTATTGTCAGTTGCTAGAGGTTTGTTTTTATTGTATACGCATATTATAATTAATAATAAAATATTGTTAAAATTAAATTTGATATCTTATAATATCAATTATATACAATTTTTATAACTTATCAATCATTATTTATACTTGGCTAAAAAGTAAAAGTACTAATATAACTAATGAACCGCTTTATTTGTTTAAAAAATAATTTAGTACATTTTTTTCATATTTTATTAAAATATATACATCTAACATTACAATATTTATTATTTAAATAAATTATTTCTTAGTATTTTATTTTTAAATAACAATACAAATTGTCTTTTTTTACAGGTAAAGTGTCTGAAGGTATGGATTTTGATCATCATTATGGTCGAGCAGTAATTGTTATGGGTATGCCATATGTCTATACTCAGTGTCGTATATTAAAAGCTCGCATGGAATATTTATGCAGTCAATACCAAATATCTGAAGGTGATTTCTTAACTTTTGATGCGATGAGACACACTGCCCAGTGTGTTGGTAGAGCAATCCGTGGTAAAATGGACTACGGCATCATGGTGTTTGCAGACAAAAGGTTTGCCAGACACGATAAAAGAAGTAAACTGCCAAAGTGGATACAGGCGTATCTAACTGACAATGTTTGCAACTTAACAGTAGACGAAGCTGCACAAATGTCTAAACGTTGGTTAAGGTATATAGCACAACCTGATCCAATTGAAAATCAAATGGGAGTATCATTGTTAGATGTTAATGGACTGAATAAAACTGATTTCTTAACAAAAGTGATTCAAAAATGTTGAGAACCAGTTCCATGTAAAATGTATACCTATTTAATTTATATTTTTTGTAATTTTGTCTAAACTTTATTAAAGTTTATCCATATAAGTGTTCATATAATTATTTTTTTATTTGTAACCAAAAATGTATTATAATATATTAGTTAATTATGAAATTATTTACAGCATTTCTCAGAAATGGTAACTTTACTGCTATTAATAAAATAATTTTATTTATATTTTGTATTGGTTCTCTAATTGAGGTAACTCATGATGGGTGCGATCACAGCTGGGCCCAAACAATGTTTTTCTTTTAATAGTATAATAATTGTTTATTTTTTTTTTTTTTTAATGGTTTAAACCATATTGAAATTTAATTTTAATCTTATAAACCTGTTGCAATAATGAGTTGAAATAATATGGTATGTATAGAGCTCAGATTTAAAATATGTCCTTTCAAAATATGCATTTATGACCTAAAAACTAAAAGGATTCCCCTAGATTGACCTAGGATTTCTTCAGAAATCAAAATTAATTTGTGAAATATTTTATTTAAAAACCAGATTGCCTTAAGTTGTTAAAGTACAATATGTGTATTTATTTAGGTACCAATTTTATTTTTATTTTTTTTCATGATATATCTAGAAATAGGTTTAGACTCACCTACAAAAATAAATAATCCTCTAAACGTTTTTAAAAATAAACTTACACTTCCAAAACTGCAAAAAATTAAAAATAAGTTTGTTGTTACCATAGTGGGTACTTAAAACACTTTTGTATCTTGGAGAGCATTTTTTTTAAAAACATGCAAATGCATCAAAATCCAAACACTAGTTAAATATAATAATATATTATATTATAATAAAGAATCTTACAGAGTAGTGAGTACTTATAATTTCTGATTGAAAGCTTAAAATTTTAATAAAAAATTTATGTTTATGCATATTTTGTAAATAGCAAAGGTATTTCCAAATCATGAGTTCTGTGACAGTTTCACTCAAAATACTATTATATGTTCAATATTATGCAGTTGTCTATACTAGTTAGTCTTCATGAAACTATGCATAAAATAAATCATGAACAATTATTAAAAAAGTATATAAAATAATTTTAGCATATGGACGAACACTTATAAGATCTCTTGGATACTTGCAAAATGAAGGGAGGTTTTGGACATTTCTCTCCTGGCTCCAAAATTAGATGTTATGTATGCCACTGATCTTAATATATCAATGATTGGGTGTATGAGTGTCGTTAAGTAAACATTTCTGAATTTTTCAGGTAACCAATTTTAAATACATTTATAATGTGTAATATTCAACATTTAAAACATTGTCATTTAAAGAAGGTGGGCAAATATTCGAGGGGTAAATTAATTTTTGTTTATTGTAAAAACCTTGGGGGGAATCTTCTATTAAAACTTCTAATTTAATCTATGAAGAAAAAAGCATCTGAATTTCTAACTGAAAAATAATTTGCACTGTAGGTATCTTTAATATTTCAGAACTGCTGTCTGCTATTAAAGCAACTTATGAGGAATGTTGCATTAAATTTCCCAGCTTTTTAACTGAGTAATTAAGTTTTTATCGTCAATAATTTAAATAAAATTCTTAAGACTATAAATATCTCAAAAAGAGTCAAAATGTTTCCATACATGGAAAATGCTAATATAAATATTAGATGAAAATTTCAAGTATCTACGGTCATAAGTTTTTCAGTTAGGTCCACAAAAAATATATAATCGATTTTTTCAAAAATTGGTTTTACTTGAAAAATTTTTTTTTTATTTATATAACTTAGGTAATATCTCAAATATTGAGACGCCCCTTAATATATTTGTGATTCGAGACGATCAATAGACCGGCGTGCTACCTAGATACTTAGGAAGGTTAATGTGCTGTTAAGGCAGAATATTAACTATCTAGGTCAGCGGTTCTCAAACTTTTTTTCGTGTACCACTTAAGTACCTATATTATCAATCAGTCGCGTACCACTGATGATTAAAAGTAGAAGAACACAAACTTTACATACCTAGTTAAATACATTTATTTTAAATAAAAATGCAGTAAAATACTACAATATAATTATTATTTATTTATTAATACAAATGTATTAGTGTTTAAAAATTAAGACATGAATTAAATAACAAATTTTCAATAAGAACCATGGATTTGTAGATTTGATATATGGTGAAATATCTGGTTCAATATTACTTAAGGCATTCCGCGTACCAACATGTAGTATTTCGCGTACCACAGTTTGAGAATCGCTGATCTAGGTAATTTAATCTGAATTTTAGATTCTGAGCGGAGCGATAAACGCATAGGTATTATTGATTTATTACAATGATGTGTGGTGTTTTTTTTTATTCTTGTTGAAATAATGCTTCGATTTTCAACTTCGATATCTTTTCCGGTAGGAAAGTTAATCTAGTTGGTGCTTCCGACAGGTCATAATTTAAAATTTATAGTAGTTTTCAAAAGCGCCGGGAAAACAAAATAAAATTAAGGAAAAATTGGAATTTTAAGGCAAAATCAGTTTTTGACAAAATCAATCATAATTTTTGGTTTAACTCTAAAAAAAAGACTATAAATAGGTACATACAATTTTCATTGAATGTTTGTATTAGCATTTTCTATACACCACACGAGTTTCAAAATATTTTGACTCATTTTGAGCTAAGTATTCATAGGAATATAAAATGTTCTATTATTATCAGTTTTTTTAAATTTATGTTGGTAAAAAAAAAATTTGCTCTGTCAAAAAACTAAAAAATATAATACAAGGTTCTTCATAAGTTCTTGTTAGTGGAAATTAAAAAAAAGTTGTGCATAAATCCACAATATTTTTTTATGAGCATCTGAAGTTATAGAATTTTTATTAAATTCGTAAAAATCACCAAAATTTGGAAATTATTTTGAGTTAGAAATTTATAATATTAATAATATTATTTTATTTTTATATCTTAGATTTGATAATATAATACAAGATTTGTTCTAAGTTTTTTCTACCTTTATCAAAAAAAAAAATGTCCACCAGAAAGTCAAATTAAATTTTTATGAGAGTTTAAAGTTCAAATTTTACAAATTATGTTGTAGATAAAAATGTATAAAATATTCAACTTTTATACCCAAGGATTAAAAATTAAATACAAATTTCACCGAAGTGCAAAAAAAAATATTAACACAGTTAGTTGTTTAGTTATTTTAAATTCAAACTTGGACAGAATTAGGTACAACCAAGAATAATGATTTCAGTTCTTTTATTGTAATTTAAAAATATTATTTATGGGTAGGTACTTGAAAATTTAAGGGACGTATATAAATATATTATTATATTTTATACATACGATGACATTTTCAAATTCAAAAATGAATTTAACTTTCTATTATAGTATTAAGTAGGTACTTACACTAATGCCTATTATGTAATAAAATAAATTCCTCTACTCACAATAATATCATAAAATATACCAACTTAGTAATATTATAAGCTGACAGACTTCGTTCAGAAACGTTTTTCGTATACAATGATTTCATATCAATGAATTCAAATTGAACACATCCATTGCAATAACCCCCAAGACACTTAATGTATAGCAGATCCTTACTCACTTATTTTATATTTTTATTTGCTTCTTAAAATCAGTTCTGTCTGTAAAACTTTTTTACTATCCTTCAAAATGTATATTATCATTGAAGTAAACTAAATTTATATTAAAATTTGCAACGAAATAATTAAAAATTGAAAAATGGTAGTGCATATATTTATTACATTATTCAGAATTTTTAGGACACAAAAACATTTTATTCAGGGCGTTTTTGGGGGAATTAAAATCCTGGGCCTTATGCCCTTATTATCGTGTAGTTGTCGAAAGTAATAAGATGTTATTAACAAAATTATTAACAGTTTTAATTTATTCTATGAAGTGCGTCTATTTTTTTTTTTATATTTATTAATAAAATAAGACATTCCTAATATAGATAATAGAGAACAATATTAGTTCGTAGCTATTTTAAAAGGATAATTATACATATACAAAATATGGATAGATGTATATACAATTAATGAATGAAGTGGAAGTGTGTCTATAGAATACTGTTATTCTATTTATGCTGATCTCCCTCTATTTATTCTGAGTTTATTCAACGGTAAGAAGTGATATCAGAAATCTTAAGTTGTAAGTTTTTATCAGTTTTATTTTATTACTGTGATAAATGATAATAGTATTAACTATTAACCATAATCCATTAAATTTTAAATTTTAAAGTCTTAAAATATATTTTAGACGTGACATGCTTACTAGAATTTTATTTTATTTAAAAGAAAGAGAATGTATAGATACACCAACGTTCATAGATAATTTTCTATAAACCTTGTGATAGAATCAATTTCTTATTCTGCGGTATTTACTTGAAAATTGATAACACCGCAGTGTCAAAACTCAAAACCGACAGCGGACAAATCTTTAAATATATTTTTTCTGAGGGACAATCGTGAAACGTTGTTGCTAAAATTTTGGTCGACCTTCGTGATTCGTTGTGGCCCGTGGGTCTTATTAACTGTTAGTAAATAACAAATGTTTTTAATCAGGCCTATTGCAGTAACGTTTTTGTAGTTGGCGTATTTGGGCCGCTCGTGATATATCCGTTTGACTATGTGTAAGTGTACTGTGTACGAAAATATTCAATATAATATGTTTAACCGTAACGTTTGGTATCACTCATATACGACCTCAGTTAGTAGTGTCGTGACGGCCCGTCCAAGGTGGATGTATATGTATATATATACACCTTGGGTCCGTCCATTTGTGTGCAACACATGAGACTATCAAGAGAATGTTTTCTAAAATCACGTTTTAATACAGGTTTATACTACAGATTTGTCGGCAGCACGATGCGCTTTCCAAACTTTGTTTTCCGGAAACCATATGAGCCCAGCTACTCTCAATGTCATGACTCTGCGGGGCCATGGATACTGGCTGAAATGTTGGTGGACAGATCTCGGTGTTATATCGAGGAGAAAGCCAACGATGTATTTCGCTCCCAGACGTTTTGTTAAAGTCACTGCCTCGTTGGTATCATCAAGAAATTATTACGACGTACTAGGCGTTCCTAGAGATGCCAACCCAAAGCAAATCAAAGACGCTTATTACAAACTGGCAATGAAACACCACCCAGATAAAAACAAAGGAATACTCACCAAACAGTTCAGAGACATTAAAGAGGCATATGATGTATTAAGCAACGAATCTAGTCGGACAAATTACAATAAAAATATGGGTACTTAAGCATCTTATTCCCACTTTTTCATTATAATTATCTGACAAATTTCTATTTAACTTAGTTCTTGACCTTTGTGCTTTATAGCACTATATTATACTTTTGAACAAATAAAAATAAGTACAATGTACATACTATGTATAAAATGTTCAAAAATAACAATAAATAATTAATTTCCATTGACTTTTCATATTTTTCTAACAATTTTAGCATAAGATGTGTACAGTGTACATAAATTTAATTCTTTATCTCTCTCTTGTTTATGTAGATTTTAGATGTTTAAAATTGCTCTCTACATTAATATCTAAATGTCTAAAATATTGACCAGAAATTATGTTATTTTTTGCAGGTTCTTCAAACAGTAACTATAGTAGTACATCTAATGATTGGACATCTAATTCTTCTTATGGCCGCTATAACACAAATCACGAATATACATACAATAATAAAAACTGGTCAAGAACTGAGTATAGCCATCAAAGGACCAGACGTTCAGCAGGCTTTGATCAACATAAACCATTCAATGTATTCATAAATGTGATTTCAGTGCCCCAGAATATTATAAAAACTCAAATTGATCTAATTTTATTGAATTTTATCAAAAATCGCACATTAAAATGGATTCTGTTTCAACTATTTCAATATCTATGGACATGGGGGTTAAAAAATTTGAATTATAATGTACTGATATCGTCGTCATCTCCTATGAATCCATTGGGAGAATTCATCAGAAGTTTGCTTGAAAACCATACAGTAAGGATCGAACTAACAGAAATAGAAGCAATAAAGGGTAAAGCTGTCAGAGTAAAAGTAAATGAAAATGAAAAAGTTCTAGTAGTCAATATACCCAGAGGAGTACATAGAGGCCAATCATTCTACTTGTTTTACCTGATTGATGACAATGATAATACTAAATTTAAAGGATGAATTTTGTTACAATATGTCTGTTTGTTATTTGGATGAATTATAATTTATTTATTTACTGAAATGTGTATATTATGCATATCTTTTAAATGGTACAAATATCAATGTCATAGGAAGCAAATTTGTGTAGCACAAGTGTGTATTTGGATCAACTTAACTATACTCTATTCAGAATAAGACCCATGCACACAACTCGGCCACCAAGTCACGGTCTTATTCTGAATAGAGTATAGTAGTAAAACAACAAATTAGTACATACTGGTTTGGTTTACATGCAGTGTGGATAGGAAAGTAAATACTTAAATTGATTTTGTATTCTGAATCATCTCTGATATTTTAACTGTTAGACCATAGAAAGTTATAGAAGAAAATATTTTTGACTAATTTGTTTTTTGGTACCAAGAATTCGACATGTCCACATTCTACAATAGTTAAAGTATTAATATTTTATCAACCATAACTATATATAATTTATAGAATGCTACTGCTGCCCTGTATACAAACACACAATATCATATAATAACAGTGGCGTAGCCAGGATTTTTTTTCGGGGGGGGGGGGGGGG